AGATGATTCAAATCAGTATAGCTTTGCCAAGCGGTCGCAGTGAGGCATTTACACTTCCTCAGTCCTCCAAAGTATAGGGGACTTGAGGATTCTGGCGCAAAAATCATTTCAACGTGGCTTCTTGAGGCTTGTGGATGCAGACCATGGCGTGGTGGATCCTGCAGTGTCTCTGCAATCTGCAGGACTTGAAGATGGCGACAACCTGACAGCCATTGTCATACACCCAAAGGTAGCGGCAACAATACGCGCTTTTGCATTGTTTTGCGGCGATGGCAACCGGGTTGTGACTTGGGGCCATCCTGGTGATGGTGGTGACAGCTCGGAAGTCCAAGATCAGCTCAACGGTGTCCAGCAGGTTCAAGCAACTGACTTCGCATTTGCTGCGATCCTGGCGGATGGGTCGCTTGTGACTTGGGGCAATCCAGGTTGTGGTGGCGACGGCTCCGAAGTCCAAGATCAACTCAAGGGTGTCCAGCAGGTTCAAGCAACTTCGGGCGCATTTGCTGCGATCCTAGCGGATGGGTTGGTTGTGACTTGGGGCAGTCCTGGTGAAGGCGGTGACAGCTCGGAAGTCCAAGATCAGCTCCAGGGTGTCCAGCAGATTCAGGCAACTGGCCACTCATTTGCTGCGATCCTGGCGGATGGGTCGCTTGTGACTTGGGGCGATCCAGGTTTTGGTGGCGAGAGCTCTGAAGTCCAAGATCAACTCAAGGCTGTCCAGCAGATTCAAGCTACTTACAGCGCATTTGCTGCGATCCTAGCGGATGGATCAGTAGTGACTTGGGGCAATCCAGGTGAAGGCGGTGACAGCTCGGAAGTCCAAGATCAACTCAAGGGTGTCCAGCAGATTCAAGCAACTTCGGGCGCATTTGCTGCGATCCTGGCGGATGGGTCGGTTGTGACTTGGGGCGATCCAGGTTATGGCGGTGACAGCTCTGAAGTCCAAGATCAACTCAATTGTGTCCAGCAGATTCAAGCAACTCACACCGCATTTGCTGCGATCCTAGCGGATGGGTTGGTTGTGACTTGGGGCGATCCAGGTTGTGGTGGCGACATCTCTGAAGTCCAAGATCAACTCAAGGGTGTCCAGCAGATTCAAGCAACTCACTGCGCATTTGCTGCGATCCTGGCGGATGGATCAGTAGTGACTTGGGGCAATCCAGGTGAAGGCGGTGACAGCTCTGCAGTTGCTGACCAGTTCGCATATGTGTGATTACATGTGCAGCCATGCTGGCTCAAAGGGGCCCCTGAGTTCAGAATCCTTCAGTGCTTTGGCTTTTCGAAGCGTGTTTGAAAAGGCCCGCAGGCTGGCGCGTCTCCTGAAACCTATGCAGTATTGAACTTAGTTTGACAAAACCTGGTGAAATCACCGAATCAGGTTGAATCAGGTCGAATCAGGTTGAATATTTGTGTGTTTCACTTAGAGCCTGGATTTTTCGGGCATTATCTTGCATGGGATTATAATGGGAAATCATCCCATGACCTGAATGATTCAGGTTGGTGCATGGCTGTTTGGCTAGCAGTGTAGATGTGTATCTCTGTAATTAAACCACCGGCTGATATACACAAGAATCCAACATGTTTCATGGATCTCGACGATGTCAGGGTCGAAAAGATAGCCAAAGAACTTAAAAAACTGTTGGCCCTTTGTTGTAAGTCAGTTGTAAAATGTGATAGGTTCATGCATGTATGGAATTATGGAATGGTAGCTATGATAACCTCATTGACAACCATCAATACCCGTAGTACCGCACAAGGCGGTGGCGGAAGTTTCAAAAATAGGAAACCTATAGGAGAGGTTGGTTGTTGTGAATCAGGGATGGCAGAGCGAAGCCACTGATGGATCGAAAGGTGATTGATCTCCCTGGTTCTTTTTCTCTGACTACCTACCTACCTACCTACCTATCTACCTACCTACCTACCTACCTATCTAATCTATCTATCTACCTATCTATCTATTTACCTATCTATCTATCTATCTATCTATGTATCTATCTATCTATCTACCTACCTACCTACCCACCCACCCACCTACCTACCTACCTCATCATTCCAGCAAATCCGGCTGTCGTGTCTCGCGCATGGTTCCTGAGCAGCCTTTTTTCCGAGCGGCCACGGGCAGAAGTCTTCCGACACGTTGCTTAGCTAGAATGTGACATCGTGCCGTCAGAAAAGACAGACACGAGCACGTGCAACTAACAATGGATGTTGATGCGCCATCGTGCCGTCAGAAAAGACACACACGAAAGACGTCCGTGCTGCCGAGCAGAATACAAAACGTTGCTTTGCTAAACTGCGATGGCTCGCAGAAACATTTGGCGGTCGAACACAACCCACCACAAACCTAAGCTGCTGGAAATTGCATCACGTCGCGCGTTTCGGTCGTCAGAAAAGACAGACCCTTGTTGCGTCAGGTCGTCAGAAAATAAGACAAACCGCTGTTTCGGTAAGTCGTCAGAAAAGACAGACCCTTGTTGCATCAGGTCGTCAGAAAAGACAGACCGCTGTTTCAGTATATCGTCAGAAAAAATATTAGTGGACACCAAATACCCCACCAACGTCGAAGTCACCAACTCCTCTGGTCCACCAACTTCTGCAAAAGACAACTCTTCCAACTTCTTCCTCAAGCTGTCCCAAGTCTTCTGCACACGATCCGCATCACTATCGCTCTCAGCAGGCTCGTGCAGCGCACGCACCTGCGCCGCCAACTGCAAAGACAAGCGCGTGGAAATCCACATGGCAAACATTTTTTTTCTCGACCTGCTTGACCTCCTGCACTTCCAAACCGACGGGTTCCGCACCCTCTTCTGTGTTCGCAAATTGCTCCAAATTTTCTCGCTTGACAAAACCAAGATACCCTTCGGGTGTCAAACCTCCTGGACGCAGAGCCACAGAACCGCCTTCGTCAACTGGACGGACGGCAAAGACGATCCAAAGCACGCTCCAAGCGAAGCCGCGAGACCAGAAAAGGCACTCGCTGCTTCCTATGTGGATCCTTGTTGCACCGCCTGATCAGCAACATCTTCATATCACCAACTGCTGCGGGAATGTCTCGGACGAACTGAGGACCTTTTTGAAACAAGTTACCCACATGTCCCCGCAGCTCGCATTGACCTGTACCATACAAAATTTCAAAAAACGAACAAGGTGTTGGAACGGGGACAAAATTTCTTCCTCGAAAAAAGTCAACGCGTCCGTCTCTGGCAAGCTATCCTGGGTCTGCATGATTTGCCGCCGTCAACCGAAAAGGTTCCTTCGGCAGCTGCGCCTTGGCACGCTCTTTGGCTTCGTGCAAGCAATTCTCACAGATGGGCCTGCTAGGTTCCAGCCAATTCTTTTTCAGGAGCTCGGCAAAAGTTTGTTTTTTGGAAAGCTTGGCTCTCGAAGCCACCCGGTAGGCGACTCTTGCCTCGCCCTGTTGCAATCCCGAACCACCCTTCTTTGCAATACGAACAATCTTGAAACTCCATGTCCAGCATGCGCGCATCCACTTCGTGCACGGGATGGAAAAATGGCATGATCCGGGATTCTGCGTCCATACTATTCCCGTACAACTGCCGCAAACTTTTAGGCAGCCTTGGGCGCGGCAGCTGATTCCCCAGAACTGTCTCTCCCGCAAATAGCTTCGAGTCATGCACGGACTTGGCTGGCTTCTGCTCCACCTCGTGCACGAAAGGCTCCAACGCCTGTCTCACACGTTCTTGATCTGACACTGACAACTGACCCCACAACCGCGGAACAAAATCATACCCAAATCGTAAATCTAAATCTGTTTTCTTGTTGTGACCACTGAATAGTTGTTCCACGCTGCTGGCGCCAAGTATCTTCAAATCAGCCTCCCTACGTTGCAACATATGTACAAACTTCTCGACAAGCTCTGTCTCAGAAACACACAAATCGCGTTCCCACCCTTCCACTTCTGCAATCTGTTGTCCCGACAAACGGTGTAGATATCTCTTGAGGAAGAGCGCACAAAAGCAAGAAAGACATAGGGATGGATTACATGTCTTTGCTTTCGAAAATATCCACCGAAGCCTTCTTATTTTGTAGCTTCAACTGGTCACTGTGTTCGACTACAAATGCCTTGGCCCTCCCAAAACTCCGCTCCAGCCGGGGCAGAAAAGCCACCGACGCGTCGCAAAGCACCAGCTCCCAATCTTCCAACAAGTCTCTTTTTTGACTGTCAGCAAGCGATGATGACGCACAAAAAAAAATGCGGGCACGCATCCATTCTGCATAGCTATGTGCTTGATTGCTCCTAACCACATCCCTCAAGTTCTGCTTTTGCAGCTGTACAATTTCAGCTGCAAACTTCGCGAAAAAAACCTGTACACCAACCAAGGCTGCTGCACGAGCAGCGCTCGCTGCTTCGCAGTCGGCAGCGCTGTGTTTGCACAGTTCTTCTTCCCACACGGCCATGGTTTCCATCTGCTCTGCTGCCAGTTCGTCACTGTAGCGTTCCAAAAATACTCGGGCAAAGGTCGACATCGGAAATTGTAGCATGTGCCGACTTCGCAGTGCTAGCTGTAAATTCTTGGCTCCTACCCGCAGTGTGCAGTGTGAAGTGTGAAGTGTGAAGAAAGCAGTGAGAAGTGAGAAGTGTGGAGTGCGAAGAGTGCAGTGTGAAGTGTGGAGTGTGAAGCGTGAAGTGTGGAGTGTGAAGAGTGCAGTGAGAAGTGTGAAGTGCGAAGTGTGAAGCGTGAAGTGTGGAGTGTGAAGAGTGCAGTGGGAAGTTGGAGCTTCACATGTGACATGTGAAACAGGACAACTTTCGCAGAGTGCACGCACGCACGGGCTTGGCTGGCGCACGGCGCATGCAAGTTCTATAGATGAGAAAGTCTTATATATCCTTAAGGCAACTTCCGCCCCGCCTCGTGCGGGTACTACTGGTATTGGTTATATATTGCTTATATTATATATCATAGGTTGCCATGATATTCCCATTGGTGATATACCGGTAACATTACTCAAAGTGGCCAAAACTTATGGCTTCAGCCAAGGCCCCGCCTTGCCGCCCGAGCAGCCAGCCTGCCAGCACCAGTGGTGCCAGGGCGGTGCACCATCCACTTCCGCTGGGAGGCTGTGGCAACTGGGGGATAATGATCAGTTCATTTGGTATAGCAAGATGGGGGTTTCCATAAATGGGGTACCCCAAAAAAGCTGGAAAACCCATCCAGAAATGGATGATATAGGGGTACCCCCGTTTTTGGAAACCTCCAGATGGAGTATGGGGAGAAGTTCTCCATGCTTCTCCAGAAATTGAACCCGGAGTTGGGCGATGTGCTGTCCCTGATTTTGAACCATAGAGGCCTTTGGGCCAGCGCCCCAGCCAGGAGGGCTTGGGAAGCAGAAGTTTGTTGCTCTGGTCCGCTGCCTTCCGTTCTTCCAGTGAGATTTGCTTAGTTTCTCGAAGCAGAGGGAAGTCACCATAAGGTCACCAAAAGTTGTGAACCAGTTGCATCCTGTAGACGGTGTTAAAGTGTTTTTTTCCAGAAACCACTGTGGCTCGGTACATCCACCAGACAAACACAATACAACCAGATTTGTTTGTCAGTGTGGGTCTACATGGTGTTAGAATGTTTTAGAACTGGAATATGCTAGAAAAAGGTAGTAGACTTGGTAACGGTGTTCATCAAGTTACACCCTACTGGTCACCCACTGATCACTGCACAATGCTGAGACAACCGCCACTGAGGACGCCTCCAAAGATGTTTTGATCTGCAATGCACCAAACGCAGAAGAACTGAAAGTGAGCTGCTCCAATGTTGATGTGGCCAGAATGGAAACAAAGTTTTCCCGCAAACGTCGCTGCCTAACAGTGATCTTCTGAGACAAAGTTGCTCAGATCAAGTGGATTTGGGATGTGTAGCTCCTGCAGCTAGGCTGCAGGATTGAATCTTCCAAAGTGGAGAAATCTTGGAGCCAAAGTCGCTTCAATCTAATATGTCGATTTAGAACACCAAATGCTAAACATGGCAATGACTAAAGATGGCAATGACAGGACATTCATCTGAAAATGGGTGATTCATTGCCCGGTTGGATTGCGGGAGGTTGAGATTACTCCTTTTTCTTGGCCCTGTGAAACACGTGGCCCTTTGAAACGGGGCGCAACATGTTGCTGTGAGTGCCTTGAAGTGCCAACTGGATTTGATATGGTAGCATTGACCAAGTATATGATCTGGGATAATTCCAGTGAAGGAGGATTTGCTGGAATTACTCGTAACAACGACTGGGGTTTATCATGGTTTATCAGCAATAAAGTCGGGATGTTCCCTACAAATATAATATGGGATTGGCTTATGAAATTATGTTTGGTTTTCTCACATTGGTGAATGAGAATGGGCATGTGACCAGTGAAAGGGAGGTGCAACTGGTTGGCAGCGTTAAAAGCTGGTTGTTCTTTTCCATCTCTAGATGAGATGAATAGCCCCCAACGGTCGAGATATGTTTGAGAGGTTTGAAACCATGGGCACGATGCTTGACTTGTCTACATCTTTGGCCCCTCAAAAACTGAGGGGCCACAAAAACAAAAAATCAAGAATAAAAGGCACTGTTCTCCAAAATCATAGGGGTCTGTTAATTTATCGTTCCATCTCTGATGTTTGCCGAGGCCGCAAAAGGGCGGGCCCTTGCATGGGGAGGCCCAATAGCTGTGTGCAGTGGCAAGCTTTGTCCCAGAAATGATAGTAAATTCTCTGGTAAAGATTGTAAACATATTTATGTCAATGATGGCAACAAAACCCTCCAAGTACCTATATAGGATTATAATGGATTATAGGCTTATGCATCCATTGCTTCGGGATTTTGACCCATTTTTATTGGGACTTGGAGGGGCTGGTATGTAAATGCACAAGTCATCTTCACTTCTCCAGAATATCGGTTTGCCCACAATTGGTTTAAAAAAATGGTACACCGGTCGGTATACCCAAAAATGGTCACGAAACACTTTGGAAATTGAGATGAACCTGATGATATACCATTGGATTTGGGGTAATTACCATTTTTTTTGACATATCCACGTGTTTATTGAAATGCTGCATAGCTGCATCCAACAAATTATTGGGATGATGAACCCAATCGACAAATATAGTCGCGTCACATCAAGTTCTTTTTCCATGGCTTGTAAGTGTTTTTTGTTCAAGACCAAATCCACCACTTCAGGTCATATATGAGTACAGATCAAAATTGAAGACCCTCTGGCCTATCTGTCTATCCATACATCGGAGAAACATGGACATATTACTTGATATGAAATAGATGGTTTCCTCCCTGTTCGATCACATAGATATATGAATATAGGTAGATTGATCACATAGATTTTCTCCAATAGATAGATGGTTTCTCCAATATGAGCAACCATGAGAGTTCGATGGTTTTCGGGGTAGCCTATGGCCCTGGCGCTGGGGCCCGCATCGGTGAAATTAACTCCAGGATGCCTTTTCCTACAGCCACCTGCTTGAGCGCTTCGAGAGTGATCGCAAGGACTGGGCGTAAGGGTGAGGATTGATGAGTGATATGACACCTGTGCTGCCTATGAGATCCTATGAGTAGACATGTGCAGTTCCATATCTACCTATTTGTTTGTCTATCTAGTTATACATCTATCTATCTGTCCATCTACCTATCTACCGTATTTATGTTTAGTGATACAGAGATATATTTTGATATATTGTCAATGTTTATCAAAGGTATACAAAATTATTGCTGTATATAATATGTACGTATATATATATATATACATACATGATATTGATATATGCCTGTACATATGTAAGTACATATGTGGTGACGTGTCGCGACCAGACGCAGTGTGGTGGCTTGACTGATTCAATGTCAATCGATGCAGCTGCCACTGCCACGTCACTTGTATCTGCACTTTCTAAAGACTGCGGTGACAACTAGGTTGATAAAAGATCGCATGATACCTGATTTTGGGGAGATAAATCATTATTCTGTGATCACGAATGATTACAACTCCGTAGCTATCCTCTCCCAAAAATGCCCACTCAGATCCCCTCAGCCATGTTCAGATCCGCAAAACTTGACCCATTGTGATTGGTGATCAGCCATGTTTGTCTTTTCTGGCGCAACGGGCTTGGACCTTGGACGACCTAGGACTTCCATCCGCTGAATCCACGTTCGGGGCTCAGCAACCGCTGAGACTCTGGCAGCGAGGCTAGGCCCCCAACAAAGGTGGTCGAATGGTGTTCCCAAGTGAGTTCTACCATGGGTTTTTGAAGACCGATTTCTGGCTGTTCCACCCTAGGGATTTCTTGTTGTGTCAATGAATCTCATGCTGAGGAGTGAAGCCAATTCTTTGCTGCGGTACCCTCCAGTAAACTAACATAGATAAGCAAAATCCACCATTAATATCCTCAGAGCCAAAATTTGTAATTACCATGCTACCCATCCACTTCACTAAGTTAAAAGATATCAGGCAGCTCATTTTCAGGAGGAAGAAAGGTTTTTCCCGTTTAGCGTCTTACAAACATCATGACCCTCGGCCGCGGATCAGTTATCCTCATTTCCCTTGGCCTGCGTGGCGGATCGTCTTTCAAGTCGGAATAAATCAAAACTATTTTAAAGCAAAGCAACTGATCCGTGATCCGCCAGGTAAGTCATATGAAACCTGTTAGGAGTCTAAGGGGAAAGGGTTGCAAAACCTAGTCAAGAGGAAAAACTTTTGTCCTGGTGTTGTATGCTTTCATATATGATACCACGACATTTCTTTGGCCCTTATGTTTGAACCTCACCCATATCTCCACACGCGCAGGAACATACAAGCTGGTAGATATTTGTCACAACCAAACAGACCTGATTCTTGAAAACATGAGCACCCAAAAATTATCCAGTTTATATAATAGGATTGTAATACGATTTCCGATTTCCCATGAAATAAACCATCCAGCTATTGGGGTAAGCCAACTCCAAGGTGAGCGCAGCACTGCTGCGGATATGTGCCGTTACATGGACCAACGCTTGCAGGCGGGATTGCAGCTAATCCTTGGGTTTTGGGGCTATCTAGAGGTTGGCCATGGGTCTTCTATGGCGGGATTTGATTGTATGGTTCCTACATATCCAGTAGAGGTGCAGATCCAGTGATTCGATTCGTGGATGACTATACGGTTTGGAGGCCTAATAAGTTGCAGAAACATGCAGAAAGCTTTTTTCAGGAAGATGTTGTTCTCTTGGAGAAAAAACATGCCACCACCAGCATGGGGTTTGTAACCGAGCTGGTTGCTGGTTCTTGAAATATTTCCTCATATGTCCTCATTTGCAGCTTATTTCCCACAATGACTTCCACATGATTGATGATTTTCTGATAGGCTAGAACTGCAAACCAATCCCCGATATGTTTGATCAGTTTCCATGGATTCATTCATTTTTTGCCCACTTTGCTCGCTAGCTTCATGGAACCAAAAGTAGCAGGAACACCGGAACAGGGAAAACTCCTAATTCACTGAAAATCGATTTGAACACAACACATATCGCATAACACATAAGTTTCCCAGAATTTGGGAAAAATCTGCCGGAACCCCTGGAACTCGGTGGTATTCACCAATGGTTTCCATCCAATCCACCATGCGCCAGGCGTTGGGGTTCCCATCCGTGTCGAACGCCTTTGAGGTGGAGGCTCGGTGTCGCAGGTGTTGTGGCTCATGGGGTGTGGGAAATTCAACACGAAACTATGCGGATTTGACCATCTAAAATGATGGGATATAATGGACTATAATCCCATGATGCTGTTTGATGCGGCTGAAACCACCAGGACAGAGCTTCGGCAACAACAAAAACGGATCACCCAGGGAGAATGGAATAGTCATAGATTTTCCGCGATTTCTAATGTTGGGGAGACATGGGGAAACCATGTTTCTCCTTTACCATTAAAAGAAAAAATATAGTTTAAGTTAAATTGACAACCTAAAATTTGGCACGTGTTTTTGTGTTCAATCAGACGTACGAAGATTGTTGCCCAAGTTAGACCCCTGCCTAACTATCATGGAAGAAACGGCAACATCTATGATATGGGGTGATCCCTCTACTTTGTAGGATTTAATCCCACCCCCTGTTCATATGAAACACTAGGCCTCCAACTTCGGCATAACCCTCAAGCATTGATGGAATGAAGACGAATGAAGCTAAGAATCGGGGTGATTTCGGAAGGTACCAACCCCGAGAAGTTTCACCTGCAACCGTCATGCCCAGGTCCACATTGTGTGGCTTTGAATGATAAAAAAAACATGGAAAAACATGGAAACAAATTGACAAATTGATGTTTGCTTTTATGATGGCCTTGCACACAGTCGTCAGCGAAGCGTTATACGTCGACGTAGTCGTCTTGTATATCAGAATATCATTGCACAAGTATATAATAGTATATACCTGTATCTATATATATATATGTGCGTATAGTATGTATAGTTATGTTGTATAGCTATAGGTGTTAAATGTTCTCTTCTGCATGGTTTCCCTAGGTTGGTGTGTTCTCAGTTTGGTTTTGTCCACGTCCCCAGGTGATGCGAGCACAGAGCTCAGATGGGTGGAGACAGACATCTTGTTGGTTCAATGGAGAGATGACCAGAAAAAATGGAAGTAACTCAACAGATGGATTCCAGATGGTTTTCTATACATATAAGGTGGTGCCCCATAGGTGGCTAACTTGGTTTATAACTACATTAACTGGGGTTTATAGGGGATATAATTGTGATAACTATGGTTTATAGACCAACTTATAACTGGTGGGGCACCACCTTGTAAACAAAAGAAACAAACTGTGCAATCACCTGGGTTCTGATTTTTCCTCTATGCATCATTTTCTCCAAATCCAGCAAGGGCGGCTTAAATTACACAGGCCCAAAAAAGGTGCTTCTCCATGTGTTTTTGTTGGTGGTGGTCAAAGTGAGAAGCACACTGAAGTGAGTGGGTTATACTGTTATACAGTTATATAATTATATATATATATATTCATATATGGTATATTATGTATACAATGTATATATATATATAATTATATATATATACGCATTATACCAGGTAAATTGGGGTGATGACATCCACTTGAATGAGTAGCTCAGAATCCAGTGGTTTATCATCATTTTCCCTTTCGAATTCGAGTGCCCTTAAATGCACCATCTTAGGATATCCTGATAGATCCCCATGATATCCTGAAGCGAAAAAATAATGCGAAAAATAATGCTCTTACTTCCCATGTTAAGACAAATTCATGATTTTTCGCTTCAACGTCGCAAACCTAGGCTGACCAGTTCTTGGATCAGTTGCAGCTCTACATGCCCAAACCGATTCGCCCGGAGGCGTGCTGCGGGTTGAATCCTCGTTTTGGTTTATGCCGCCAGTGGTTCCATGTACCCTCTGGTAAACTAACACTTAGCCATGGAAAATCACCATTTTTAATGGGTAAATCAACTATAAATGGCCATTTTCAATAGCTATGTTAGTTTACCAGAGGGTAAGAAGTTAGAAACTCACTAAGAGATTCGTTGGAGTTTGATCCAGCCTAGTGGATGTTGCACTGAATTCCACTAGCTGGAAGCTTGCAAGATTTTTTGAGATACCCTCTGGTAAACTAACATAGCTATTGAAAATGGCCATCTATAGTGGATTTACCCATTAAAAATTGTGATTTTCCATAGCTATGTTAGTCTACCAGAGGGTACATCGGATCTGGGCGCTGTTAGATTGCAGTGATACTTGTAGACACCTGGCTTCTTCTTCTTTGGCTCTTCAGCCCTTTTGCTGCCCCCTCAGCACAAAAATTGACGTTACCGGGGACCATTGCTTGAGTTGGTTGCCCCAATGACTCATGTTGCACGCATGCTAATTTCTGGCCTGAGAAGCTGCTTGTTTGCCTAGTGACAGGCTAGTGAACATACGAAACTCTGATGGAAACACATGGAGATAGGATGGTATAGGACAATTGTTTACAGTAACATACTAGGGATTTACCATAGGATTTACTGTAGCGTCGGGCTTCACCAAAGGCCCATTTGCTCTGAAAAGTACCCAACAAAACTCCATGGATTTTCCTTATGTCATGTTCAGAAATCCATTTGTTCATTGCCATCTTGAAGGGTACCCTCTGGTAAACGTTTACAAAAAACTATAGAAAATCACAATTTTTCATGGGTAAATGAACTATTAATGGCAATTTTCAATAGCTATATATATATATATATAGATATACCCTCTGGTAAACTAACACTTAGCCATGGAAAATCACCATTTTTCATGGGTAAATCCCCATCATTTACGGCACCAGAGGGTAAATCCCCATCATTTCTTGCCACCTTTTGCGAGCCGCTTTCAGGACCTGAAAGTGGCCGAAAACCTCTTGCGCCTCGGGCGCCCCCTGAGCCGGGGATCCTCAGATGGCCTCACATCAGAAGATCTTCATGATACAATGGTGATGTCATGGAATACATATGTATATATATATATATATACATGTATATTATCTGGGTAAATTATAACGACCTCAACTCATTGGAATCATGGTTAGTAAGGGGAATCATCCCCAGATGGCCTTAATTCAGGTTAGTGAAATATTATAATTTACCCAGATATTATATAACTGATATAAGCAAATGTTATGGTGATATATCTGGCTGGCTGGTTGGTGGTTTGGAACCATGGAATGGATTATGACTTTCCGTATCTTGGGGATGGAATGATCATCCCAACTGACGAACTCCATCATTTTTCAGAGGAGTTGAAACCACCAACCAGTTATATATATATATAACTAATATAACCAAATGACTATGGTGATATAATGTGATATGTATATATATATATATGCGATATATGGTTATAGTTATGTTGAATGAATTTGAATCTGCCATAATCTACCATCAGTTATACCTCTGATTTTTTTTAACGGTTTGCAAGCTGGAAATTCATCATGATTGATAGGTAAACTATCATTTTTCATTGACCTTTCAATGGGCCATGGTTCCATAATGTTCCATACATATCTTGAATAACCAGAGGGTAATACTGTGAGCAATTCTATAAACCAATTGGTACCCCGCTTTTTGGGCCACATCGTTCTTCACTGGCCCTGTCATTTCCTGGCTAGACTGTACTGTAAACTCCATGATTATATGGTAAATCTGGGTTATACAGTTATACATATAATATCTATGATTTTTTAATGTTTGATTATATATTCTATGTTTGAGGAATCAGCTGTGATCACTCAATATCAGCCGGAGAGTAGTGATGATTTCATGGCGATGGTAGCTACGGTGGCCCAAGGTGGTGGAGGTATCGATGTGGTTGAGCCCGGTGGCTCAGTGGCTGTCCATGGCTGTCCTGCCACTTTCGATGCTCCGGAAGTGGGATGACCATAGGTCGACTGGCCTTTCCTTGAGGGGCTGAAGCCACAAATTTAAGAGATCTATACAATTTCTAAGCCACCAAATCCTGATAAAGTGTGTTTTTGAGGAAATCACAAAGTGTGTTCTCAATGGCATGATGACCTCCCAGCACTTCGCAGTATTGATCATGAAAAATATGAGCATGTTTTATCCGTGGCATCTGAGTTCGTCTGAAGATAGGCCATGACGCCCCATGACGTCCCATGGCTTGTCATGTTGCTAACATTGCCATTTGTACTGGTGGTATTTCCCATTTCCGGGCAATCTCATGTACTACGAAACGGGATGCCCATGAATCACGATGCCGCTAATATCCCCATTTGTTGGTGGTACAGTATCCCCATAGTTGATTATTATTGGCCACATGAAAAGGCTAGAAGATAGAAGCCTCGCAAAAATAAATGGCGCAAGATTAGAACTGGCCAATTTTTGCGGATCCAGTTCAGTAGTACAGTACCCCAATTTTGACCGCCCATACCCATTTGTTGTGTGGTGGCAAATATTGGAAATTCATTGAGTATGTCCCCATGTTTGCTGGTTACCCTCTGCCACTCAAACATGGCAATGGAAAGTCCTCAATCCTTTGTTTGTAGCCGATTTTCTTCATTGGGGATTTCCCGTTGCCATGTTTGATTACCGGATGATAAATTCCCAGTGCTGTGGATACAACCCCAGTTTTAAGTCCGCTTAGTCCAGTTACAACTGTAGTGATTTTATAATGAGATGAACTGCTGCTATGGTGTCCGTCGCCCATTTTCATTCGTACCCTTTGGTAATTTAACTGTTTGGTAGGGAAAATAACGGTTCTTTATAGGTAAATTATCGATCAATAGGCAATTTTCCATACTATACCATGAAATCCATGAATATAATATTCATGTATATTCCAGGAGTATTCCATTACCAGGAGTACCGCACAAGACGGTGGCGGAAGCTTCAAAGATAGGAAACTATAGAAGAGGTGAGTTGTTGTGATGCATGGATAGCAGAGCAAATCCACTGATGGACCGAAAGGTGGATGTGATTTTTGGAGTGGTTGCAGTGGTCACCTCACCCACAACTGCAGGATGCAGTGCGGCGTAGCGAAGTGCAATGTAATTGTCGTTGTAGTTGTAGTTGTAGTTGTAGTGTAGTTGTAGTTGTAGTTGTAGTTGTAGTGTAGTTGTAGTTGTAGTTGTAGTTGAAGTGTAGTGAGGTTTGAAGCTGTAGTTGTAGTTGTCGCGTCGTGTAGTTGTAGTTGTAGTTGTAACCTAGTGTAGTCTAGCGTAGTTATAGCTGTCCTTGTAGTTGTAGTAGTTGAAGTGTAGTCGTATTTGTAGTTGTAGTGTAGTGGATTTGTAGTTTTGGTGTAATGTAATTTGTGTAGCGCAGTTGTAGTTGCAGTTGTAGTTGCGGTGTGGTGTAATTACAGTACAGTGAAATGGAGTGTAGTGTACTGTAGTGTTGTGTGCTGCGGTGTAGTGTAGTCTAGTCTAGTGTAATGTAGTGCCATGTAGTGTAGTGTAGTGTAGTGTAGTGTAGTGTAACGTAGTGCAACGCAATGCAGTTGTAGTTGTAACTGTAACGTAGCGTAGTGGGATGACCATAGGTCGACTGGCCTTTCCTTGAGGGGCTGAAGCCACAAATTTAAGAGATCTATACAATTTCTAAGCCACCAAATCCTGATAAAGTGTGTTTTTGAGGAAATCACAAAGTGTGTTCTCAATGGCATGATGACCTCCCAGCAATTCGCAGTATTGATCATGAAAAATATGAGCATGTTTTATCCGTGGCATCTGAGTTCGTCTGAAGATAGGCCATGACGCCCCATGACGTCCCATGGCTTGTCATGTTGCTAACATTGCCATTTGTACTGGTGGTATTTCCCATTTCCGGGCAATCTCATGTACTACGAAACGGGATGCCCATGAATCATGATGCCACTTATATCCCCATTTGTTGGTGGTACAGTATCCCCATAGTTGATTATTATTGGCCACATGAAAAGGCTAGAAGATAGAAGCCTCGCAAAAATGAATGGTGCAAGATTAGAACTGGCCAATTTTTGCGGATCCAGTTCAGTAGTACAGTACCCCAATTTTGACCGCCCATACCCATTTGTTGTGTGGTGGTAAATATTGGAAATTCATTGAGTATGTCCCCATGTTTGCTGGTTACCCTCTGCCACTCAAACATGGCAATGGAAAGTCCTCAATCCTTTGTTTGTAGCCGATTTTCTTCATTGGGGATTTCCCGTTGCCATGTTTGATTACCGGATGATAAATTCCCAGTGCTGTGGATACAACCCCAGTTTTAAGTCCGCTTAGTCCAGTTATAACTGTAGTGATTTTATAATGAGATGAACTGCTGCTATGGTGTCCGTCGCCCATTTTCATTCGTACCCTTTGGTAATTTAACTGTGTGGTAGGGAAAATAACGGTTCTTTGTAGGTAAATTATCGATCAATAGGCAATTTTCCATACTATACCATGAAATCCATGAATATAATATTCATGTATATTCCAGGAGTATTCCATTACCAGGAGTACCGCACAAGACGGTGGCGGAAGCTTCAAAGATAGGAAACTATAGAAGAGGTGAGTTGTTGTGATGCATGGATAGCAGAGCAAATCCACTGATGGACCGAAAGGTGGATGTGATTTTTGGAGTGGTTGCAGTGGTCACCTCACCCACAACTGCAGGATGCAGTGCGGCGTAGCGAAGTGCAATGTAATTGCCGTTGTAGTTGTAGTTGTAGTTGTAGTGTAGTTGTAGTTGTAGTTGTAGTTGAAGTGTAGTGAGGTTTGAAGCTGTAGTTGTAGTTGTCGCGTCGTGTAGTTGTAGTTGTAGTTGTAACCTAGTGTAGTCTAGCGTAGTTATAGCTGTCCTTGTAGTTGTAGTAGTTGAAGTGTAGTCGTATTTGTAGTTGTAGTGTAGTGGATTTGTAGTTTTGGTGTAATGTAATTTGTGTAGCGCAGTTGTAGTTGCAGTTGTAGTTGCGGTGTGGTGTAATTACAGTACAGTGAAATGGAGTGTAGTGTACTGTAGTGTTGTGTGCTGCGGTGTAGTGTAGTCTAGTCTAGTGTAATGTAGTGCCATGTAGTGTAGTGTAGTGTAGTGTAGTGTAGCGTAGTGTAGTGTAGTGTAACGTAGTGCAACGCAATGCAGTTGTAGTTGTAACTGTAACGTAGCGTAGTGGAAATAGTGTGGTGTAGTGTTGTGTTGTGTAATGTAGTGTAGTTGCAGTTGTAGTTTTCATTGTAGTTTTGGTGTAGTGTAGTGCAATTCGTTTACTGAGTGTAGCGTAAAGTAGTGTAGTTGTAGCTGTGGTTGTAGTAGTAGTGTAGTGTAGTCTAATGTAGGGTAGTTACCTGTAGTTGTAGCTGTAGTAGTAGTGGTAGTTGTAGTTGTAGAGTAATTAGTGATTAGTGTAGTGTAGTGCAATTAGTGTAGTGCAATTAGTGTAGTGTAATGTAGCGTAGTGATTTGTATTTGTAGTTGTAGCTGTAGTAGTAGTGTAGTGTAGTGGTACTTGTAGTTGTAGTTGCAGTTGTAGTTGTCTCTCTATTTATCTGTCTATCTGCAAGCTTGAAAACGAAGCTATTCTGCGGGACTTCCTCAATTTTTGAACTTGACAACATCAAAAACAAAGCTATTCTGCGAGACTTCCTCATTTTTCGAAGTTGACAACATAAAAAACGAAGCAATTCTGCGAGACTTCTTTCAAAAACAGAAAGTTGAGCGCAGAGCTGACGGCCTCGTACCAATGCGTTTTGCGATGTTTCCACTCCGTCTGTCTAAAGTATTGTGCCTGCCACGGAAAAGTGATGCCAGGTCATGCGAAGTGCTGCACCTGTCACGCAAAATCATCTTAGCAAACCTGAAGACCTGATGCTCCAAAATGCAATCCCTCTCAAGAAATCTGTGCCCAGACCTAATATCTCTGATGAGCATTGCAGCATGTCTCTTGTACCGCGCCTGCCACGCGAAATGCATCTTCCCAGATCGTCTTCAAATGCCCCACGCCTGCTTGGACATGCTACAAAAACCGACTCTTGACAATGTACAGAACCCCTTGCACCCGCCACACCAAACGACATCTGAACATCCAAAAGTGGTCCGAG